GTCTCTACACTATCTTGCAAACATATCTTAATAAAATAGAACATTGGTTGGATGGATTGATGTTGAACCTCAATACCGGTAAATGTGCTATTCGCGTTTTTCCAATCAAAGATCCCGTGCACATATCTATAAATTACAAGCTTCAAGATATCCCACAAGTACAATCATTTAAATATCTTGGAGTTATGTATAATGAGCATCTAAATTGGCGCCCTCACATTGAATACATCGCGACAAAAGCAGTACGCGCGATGGGGGTATTGCGGAGGTTGAGCAATTGCAGATCAGGTATGAGAAGAAAGGCACTTTTGATTATATATAAAATGTATGTCCGACCTGTGTTGGAGTTTGGCTGCATTCTTTTTTCTGGTGCGCCAGCCTACAAACTTCGGCCGCTCGTTCTGTTGGAAAGAGAGGCTTTACGGCTCTGCTTAGGACTTCCAAAGTATACTGCAAATGCAGTGTTATACCTTGAAGCACGAATACCAACCTTATTATGTCGCTTTAACATTCTTACTGTGCAGACCTTTTTACGACTATATGAAGCACCATTTAACCCTGAACAAATTATTTTTATTTCCAATCCTGACCTATTCTTCTCCGTGCATTGGCCCAGGTTTACCAAACCACAAATAGTATTTGTTCAATCGTTACTTGAGCCCCTAAATGTACACGTTCGTGATCTGATTCCTTTAACTGAGCAACAAAATTCTCCAGAAATTGTTTACCATGATATCTTTCCAACTCACGCAAAGCTATTACCTACAGGCATTTTAAATGGTTTATTGCAGGACCATTTAGGTACTCTGCCAACAAATGTCATTATAGCAACGGACGCATCTCAATCACATGAAAAATCAGGCGTTGGAATATATTGCCCCGTACTTGATTGGTCATTTTCACTTCGCTTACCGGACTTTCTTCCTGTCTTTCTGGCTGAATTCATGGCAATAATGTTAGCTTTGCGAAAGGTAAATATTTCCATTCCAGTTGTAGCAGTCATAACTGATTCATTATCAGTGTGCTCTTCTCTGTCTGCATCTGGTCATTCACCTATAGTGAAACTTTTTAAATCGTTGATCCCCTGTCATCTCCGAAGTATTCATTTAATCTGGACACCAGGGCACAAAGGTTTGTTGTTAAACGAAATAGCTGATTCTCTTGCGAAGGCATCCCTTTCGACACCAATTATTCCTATTTTCCCCCATACAGTATACATTACGGTGGCGCGATTTCGCACACTTAAAATCAGGCAAAATTTATCTGACCCTGCACTGACGGCTTCTCCAGAGTACAAACACTTGTTATTTCCCTGGCGCAGTGAACTGACTAAATCAAGGATGATGGAAGTTGTCATCACGAAATTTCGTTGCCGCGTTACCTCCCTCAATTTTTACTTGCATAGATCAGGCATATTGAATTCCCCTATGTGCATTTATTGTAATCAAGAGGAAACGATCAGTCATTTTTTATTACATTGTCGCCGTTTCGATTTATTCAGGCAAAGCATACTAGCACCACCTCTTCAAAGACTGGGCTTGCAACTATCACAGCCTGATCTTCTTTCATTTGGAGCCTCTACACTGGGTTTCAGCCACAGGGATGTTTTATTCGCCGTTCAAGAATACATCACTGCGACTAAACGATTTTCTTGCTAAATTGCTGTCTCAAAATTTTTCTTATTTTTTTCTGGAAACTTGATATCGGTATTTCAAATCAAAATTAAGTTACAAAAAAAAATTGTAGGAATGACACAATGCTGAAAGTTTAGGGCAAATTCACCTTAAAATCAGCCAATCCCCTTCTTTGGGTACGAGCCATTTCTACAGGGAAACAACAACAACAACAACAACAAGTATCCGGCTACATGGCGGTAGCCGCCGCCCGATCTAAAGGGTAGTCTTATTCATCTGTCCATCGATCTCGTGCTCGTGTTCTCTGAGCAAGTATTCAGCAACTTCTACGTGCTTATGAAACCGTGCACGCAGTTTCATGATTCGTGCGTCTAACCCTCGATGAATTCATCTGGGGACCTTACTTTACGACGTCGTAGAGGCAAGTCATCCAGTATGTCATAGGTGTTCCCATGTGCGTCTTTGTAAGAGGCACGCGGTGGTTGGAAACGTTAAAAACCGCAACAAGAGCTTAATTTGGGCCAGTTGGTTCTTCGTGGTTGTGTTGTAGTAACATGGCGACAACTTTGTGTCTCCCCCTGTAGTTGTCGCGCTGTTACCAGAACACAATCACGTTGGAATCGGCCGTTGTCAGTGAGAGAGTAAAATGCAAAATAGAATGTTTATTCTCGTAGTCTACTAGGGTATTGATGTTTCAAGGCTAAAGTGCACTGTTGTGGTTATCATTTTTACGCTCATCCTCGCATTGAGCATATCGAAGCGGGCCCGTCGTTACCGTTCATAAAAACTTAATGATATCGTAATGCACAGATCATTACATTACATTCGCGTCTGCCACAAAGAACGGTGGCAAGAACTCGCCGCTCCAGTCGCAGTTGAGTGAAAATCGCGGAGCATCTACAGTCCTTGTGAAACGAAACCGCCATTAGCGGTGGTTGATTTTTTTTTTTTTTCTGCAATCGCGGTATGTAAAACAGTCTTGAGGATCGTGGCTTTAAACAGCCCACGAACGCTTCTCGACTTGAAACTCAAGGACCGGAAATCGCAACGCCAAACAGTCCTCAAAAGTCCCTTGAGGTCGTGGTTTCGAGTCGAAGAGCGTTTGTGAATAGGGAATTTTAGAAGAAGGTGTGCAGGGGCTGCGTGCATAGCGTGCGCCATATGAGTTGGATGAATGGATGGATTGATGTGGCTGTACCCCTTAGATCGGGCGGCGGCTAACGCCACCCACACTAAAAAAAAAAAAAAGAGCGAGTAATAAAGTTAAGTTTTGGTGTCTCTGTTTTGGGAAATTGCCACAGAGATGCATTCGATGCGGTGTGTAATTTTATTCAAGACTCTAAACGTTTTTCAACATAAAGCCCACGTTAACAGATACCCCCCCCCCCCCCAAAAAAAAAAAAAACGTGTCGAAAAGTAATTTTCAATTCTGGATAAATCCGTGACATACCAAATTAATCGGGTTTGGCAAAACCAGCTGTCTGGTCGGCTCCTAAAATCAAGTTGTAGCTATTAGTGTCTACTTTGTTGTTGATTCTTTTTTTTCGCTATCTAAATCTTTGGTTTCTTTCTTTTTTTTAACATACTGTCTTCACTATACAACTCCCCCCCCCCCCCCCCCTTTTTTTTCGTTGTAAGCAATAATGCAGTTATCGTCCATATGAGACTATATGTTCTCTTGGCCAATCCCCCAGAGTGGGTATGAGCCATGGATTAGAGGATACAAACAAACAAAGGGTGTTCTTTTTTGTCCCAGAACAATAATCGTCATCTATATTGCGTTCCATCCTTGCGCTATCGCCCCGCGCCCGGTACATTCAGGTCACGATCGACATGCCCATTATTAGGGTTACATTGCATTTTCGATAAGAAAGTGGCCAGCGCTGAGTTTTCAAGGAAGCGCACGCAAGCCTGATGACGATTATTGTTGTGGGACAAAAAGACACCCTTTTTACTCTATACGTTTTTAGAGTGCAGCCACAATACTACAGTGTACTAGAAGGGGACAGTGGAGTGAACGAGGCGCCCCACAGAACACCTACCTCGGCTGATTCTCCGGCGTGTGACAGTAGCGGCGGCGCTGTAGTTTCATGGTACTGAAGATCTCGGGAGCATCTGCATTGGGAGCGCCCGAGCCTGCGAAAGCGTGTAATTGCTCGTTTTTAGCCCGTTTAATGCCTTTCTGAGCCTTTATCAGAGGACGCACGTGCTACGTGCCATGGTACACGAGTGAATATGCAGGCATGCCAGAATTGCGTGGATACATTCACTGTTTCAAGAGCCTGCCGACCCCCCCCCCCCCCCCACACACACACACATACAAAAAATGTCAATCGGAATTTGCACGGATCTGCCTAGCTTCTTACTCAATCAGCCCTTTGAGCTGTGCTACTGGCGAACTACAAAGAGAGGAGAAGTATCAAAACCGTGATTAAGTCATACACTCGTTTTGTCGGCAGTCTCTATGATATCCAGAGCACAATTGGCAGCAGCGGTTGCGGTCGCAAACAAGTCGCTAATCTACTGCTACTTTCGTCACAGGACAGTATATGCGGAACTGTCTACGAGCCGAAGCAAGGAAAGGATATCGCCTCTGCACGTGTATCGCCAGCGGACCGTTTCGTCACGACAGTGATTGGTGTGCTGCGTCTGCCCTCTACCGGCCAAGTTCCCGCATATAAGCAAGCATCGCTGGCGCCGAGTCACAATTGGCAGCAGCGGTTGCGGTCGCAAACAAGTCGCTAATCTACTGCTACTTTCGTCACAGGACAGTATATGCGGAACTGTCTACGAGCCGAAGCAAGGAAAGGATATCGCCTCTGCACGTGTATCGCCAGCGGACCGTTTCGTCACGACAGTGATTGGTGTGCTGCGTCTGCCCTCTACCGGCCAAGTTCCCGCATATAAGCAAGCATCGCTGGCGCCGAGTCACAATTGGCAGCAGCGGTTGCGGTCGCAAACAAGTCGCTAATCTACTGCTACTTTCGTCACAGGACAGTATATGCGGAACTGTCTACGAGCCGAAGCAAGGAAAGGATATCGCCTCTGCACGTGTATCGCCAGCGGACCGTTTCGTCACGACAGTGATTGGTGTGCTGCGTCTGCCCTCTACCGGCCAAGTTCCCGCATATAAGCAAGCATCGCTGGCGCCGAGTCACAATTGGCAGCAGCGGTTGCGGTCGCAAACAAGTCGCTAATCTACTGCTACTTTCGTCACAGGTTGGTCTTATTTCTCCACCCAACCATACTTCTTTTGTTCCGTGAATACCGTTGCCGCTGCTGCCCAATCGTGTGCTGTTGTACAGAATGCCGACGAACGCTGAGTTGGCAAAAGAAATTGAGTGTTTACGCACTGAGGTCGCGGCGATGCGTGACAGCCTTAGTATGTTCAACGAGCTTGTCGAGAGTGTTAAGAAGCAGAATTCCGACCTCGCTACTGAAAACAAGGCTTTGAAAGATGAAAATAAGCAACTGACACGAAGGGTTTCTGAACTTGAACAGTACTCCCGACTAAATAATGTAGAAATAAAAGGCGTCCCTGCAACAAAAGGTGAAAGCTGTCTGGCAGTTGTTCAGTCCATGGGTGATGCTGTAGGGTGCAAGATTGCACCTGAGGATCTTGATACTGTGCATCGTGTGCCAGCCAAAAAAGACACGAACATTATCGCGCGCTTCTGCTCCCGAGAAAAAAAGACTGAGTTCTTGAAAAAAGTACGCAAGGCCCGCTTGACGACTGCGGCCCTTGGGTTTTCCCAAAACAATCAGAAGCCCTTATATGCAAATGATCATCTCACACAAGAAAGGAAACGGCTGTTCGCACAGGCACTTGAACTGAAAAAAGCTAAAGGCTGGAAACATCTCTGGACTGATCACTGCATGATTAAGGCCAGAAGGACGGACGACAGCCGCGTCTACCGTATCTCTAGTGCGGGTGACCTTGCTGTGTTGGCCTAGCCTACCAGTATTGCTATTTACTGCTTCGTATTTTAAACCTACGCAACAATGTTTTCTTGTCAAGCTCTGAAAAAACATTTCAGTGATAAAAACCCAAAACTATCACTGATACATTTGAATATTCGCAGCCTACGTAAAAACCACAACAGTCTCATTGCATTTCTTTCTTTAATTAATCACAATTTCTCATTTATTTGTTTGTCTGAGACGTGGTTGTCGCCGGACGACAGAAACTTGTATGCGCTATCAGGATACAATGCAGAGTACTGCTATCGTGCTACACTACGGGGCGGTGGATCCGCCGTTTTTATTAAATCGTCATTGTCATACAAACGCCGCAATGACCTTGCGTTTTCTAATATGTTCTGTGAATCTGTATGGATAGAATTTGACAAGAGTGTTTTCTCAGTCGATGGCCGGAACACAGTATTAGGGTGCATTTATCGTTCGCCAGCATCTTCACAGTCTGAGTTCTGTTTTCAGTTCGATAAGTTGTTGCACACTATTACGAACGAAAACAAAAATATCATCATCTGCGGAGACATCAACGTCAACATTATCGACCCTACTAATCAGTCCTGTTCTGATTATCTCGGGTGTTTACATGGCTACGGTTTTGAATCTTTAATAACCACTCCCACCAGATGTGACATAGCAGGATCTAGTACGTTAATTGACCACATATTAACCAATTTTGCTACAGACAATACAGAAGGAGTCATTGAGCACAGCATAACGGATCATTACCCTATATTCCTGACTTTGGGCACAGAAAATTACAAGTGTAAGGAAAACAAAGAGAGGATATCTTTTAATTCTCAAAAATTCGTATCTATGGTACAATCAATTGACTGGACCGTCGTAATAAGTGAATCCTGCGCTGAAAAGGCTTATCAGCTATTTTTGACTACAGTTACACAATGCATTAACGAATGCACGACGGTACACATCACAGCTCATCATTTCAGTAATCCCAGAAAACCTTGGGTTACAAGGGCGCTACTTCGTTGTATCTTGAAGAAAAACCAACTTCACAAAAGAGTGTCTTGTGAGCCATTTAACTCTGAACTTAAAATTCGTTTCAAGAAATATTCCAACACGCTTGCAGCCGCACTTAAATGTGCAAAACGAGAATACTTTCAGAAAAAAATTTTGGATAATGGCAATGATACGAGGCGCAACTGGCAGGTCATAAACGAATTCTTAAATAATAAATGTCGTGAGCAGATAACAAAAATTAGAACTGAAGCAGAAACATACAGCCATCCAACTGATATCGCCAATGCGTTCAGTGAGTATTTTAGCAGTACCTGTGAATCTCTGAGAAATCCCCCATTACCAACATTACCTCGCCAGCCTTATTCTTTCTTCTTGCGACCAACGAGTGCAGAGGAAGTTCTTCGTGTTATAACTTCGCTCAGGTGCACGGGACCTGGTCTTGACTCTGTTCATCCATCCCACATCAAGTTAGTCTCTAGTGAGCTATCTCCTGTCATTGCAGATTTTGTTAACAAGATGTTTAAAGCAGGCATATTTCCCGATTCCCTAAAAGTTGGTAGAATAACACCTGTTCACAAAAAAGGTGATCGCGAACTTCTGAGTAATTATAGGCCCATTTGTATTCTTCCATTTTTCAGCAAAATAATCGAGCGTCTTATGCATACAAGATTAATATCCTACCTGACAAAGTTTAATCTGTTGACATCTAAACAGTACGGCTTTCGGCCTGGCTATTCCACTGAGCTTGCGCTTCTAACCCTCACCGATAAAATAAAAGGGGCAATCGACCAAGGCTTCGTAGTTGGTGGCGTATTCATAGATTTAACGAAAGCTTTTGACACAATTAATCACAAAATTCTTATACATAAACTTGAATCGTATGGCATAACTGGCCCTGCACTTCAATTTATATCTAGTTATCTCTGCAATCGCACTCAAGTTGTTCAGATTGACGGTAAAGTTTCAGCAGCTAAGAAAGTAAATCAAGGTGTTCCTCAGGGCTCGATCCTTGGCCCGCTGCTCTTTTTGCTATTTATTAATGATCTACCTAATGTTTTGACCGCTACAGATTGTATCTTATATGCAGATGACACGACCATTTTTACTTATGCTAACAATGTCGATGAGCTACAACGAAACATTAACGTGGATCTACATAATATAAGTTCCTGGTGTCGAATGAACATGTTAAGAATTAATCCATCAAAAACCGTTTTTATAGTTTTTCATTCCTTCCCGACTGTACTTTCAAAATCTATATCTGTGCGTCTGGACGATAATTTAATTCCCATGTCCGACAGTACAACGTTTCTCGGTGTAGTTCTTGACCGGCATATGAAATTCAATCTTCATGCGCAATCACTCATTCGCAAGATAACCTTTGGAATACGCGCCATAATCAAAACTCGTTCATATTTTCAGCCACACATAATCCACTCCCTTTATCACGCACATATTCACAGCCATTTATCTTATTGCATATCAGCCTGGGGTAACACATATTTGACCCACCTCAACCAACTACAACGCCTACAGAATCAAGCACTTCGACTCATGACTTTCAGCCATTTCTTAACCAATGCAACGCCACTTTATCAGAATTTAAATATACATCCTCTTTATCACCTCTTTCAGCTGAAGTTATCAGTTGTGATGTATAGGCTTTTTCGCGGTAATGTGCATATAGATGGCATTGTCTTGGAAGGCCTTGTAAATAATAATATTACTAGGTTTTCTGAGCTTGATAACCGCCTTCTGCCTAAAGTTCGCACAAACTACGGCAAGTTCACTACCACATTTACGGGAATCAAGCTGTGGAATTCCCTTCCTTACGTAATAAAATCATCAACCACAGAACATGCATTCAAAAACCAAGTAAAGAAATATTTTTTGCAACAGTTGTCTTCATCTTAGCAACTGCTTTTTAATGTAGCGATAACAATTGCTACATGTTATACTGTCCTTACGTTTTGTATTATAACTTGCGCTTGTTTGTTCTTCAGAGTTTTCTTTTTTGCCTTGCTAAACATATATGTATTTTCTACTTTCGTTTTTTCGCACTGTGCTTTTTTTTTTTTTTTCTTACTGAAGATACCGTAACAACTGAATGTTGTATATTTTGTTTCTTCTCCCGTTAACATCATGTATGGGAGCCCCCCTGACAGTTTCCAACTTTGGGGCTCCTTGTGTGTATTACCAATCCTGTACGCACTTTTCTGTAAACTGACATCGTTGTTGTTGAATAAACTTGAACTTGAACTTGAACAGTGTTCCTCATATGAGCCTACATGCGCTCGATTGTTTCACGAGAAACCCGAGTTTAAGTAACGTTGTCACAACATTTATATCGCTGACGACTCTGTTTTATCATGCCAGTAGATAATATTTATTGCTTTCCGAAAGACTTAATAGATATTAAACTTATTAAAACAACACACAAACGTATTACAAAAGGCCAATTGTATATATTGCCTGTCTGTTAATCTGCGTAAATTCATTGTAACCAGTTCTCATTTTGTATTGACAGCTTAAATTGTGCTGCTTTCCAAATATTTTATTGGTGTAATGCCACTGCAAGCGAGCAAATTTATGACAATGTTTTGTATTATAAGCGAAGTTCTAATATTAAGTATCAAAAGTGTAGGCCGGCAGTGGTGCATCTTGTTTTGAGAAATTATATATATATATATATATATATATATATATATATATATGTGCCCCTTAATTAGTATAGCTACTATTTTTAGGTGGTGCATTCCTCGCCCGACTACGTTAAACATGAATTAGTTTTGAGACCTCATACTGTCGAAAAGGTCTGAAATATACAATATACAGCGCGCATTTCTAGAGGCATGCTATATTAAGCTTCGCTAACTGCAACTTATTGGCCCAGGGCTACCCATAGAAGATAAATTTTTTTCCCGAGGGGGTGGGGTGTGCAGCAGAATGCCTAACTTTGGCACTTGGTGGTCGCTGTGAATTCGTGTAAATATTTTAGTATATCCTGAAAAGTTAAATTACAAAAACATTTCGTGGTGAAGACGGTTCAGATTCCCTTCCTCTCCCCTCTTTACTTATGGCTTTCTGGTTCTGCGTGCGTGTGACACAGTATCTGTTTTTTAATCTCACAGCTTTCTGAGCACAGCTAACTTCCAATAAATCGGCCCAGCTATTGAGAATATGGTAGACACCTAACCAATGAAGAAAGAGTTAAGAGAGAAAAATTCAGTATAAGGCACACCTTTTCTGAATTATTTTTGATCTCTCACAAGGGCTTTTATGGAGCTCAAATTCACTAGATTTGCATGTCATACTTCAAGGGCTATGGCATCATGTGCTAGACATGAATGAAGCGCAGGTATGAAGAAATCTGCATCAAGAAAGCACGACGGAGGAGCCGAAGCGCATAGCAACCTACATGTGACGCGTGGCTCTTTCAGTACTATTCGACTGCAGCGCCGCTGTGCGGGCAACGCGGAAGGGATCAGACGGCGAGGCGTGGTCACGCCACTCAACACTTCTAGCACACTCTAGCAATACGTAGTGAACCAACCACCAGACCTATATTTTTTTAAGACGATAGTCTTTCTTGGGGACCTTCGACGGTAAAATTTCGGTCTGTCTGTACATTTGTCTGTTTGTCCGCCCCAACGATACCTCAAACGGCCAACCCCATCCGCAGCGCCCACCAATATTGCTCAAGGTTTTGCATTCATAGCTCTGCTATTGTAAAAAGCAGTTATTTCTCCTATTTGAGGCGCCACAGCAATGCTTCGATGTTTTGTATGTCTGACTTTATATTAGAAGAGGCGACACACAAGTAACCCTAAGAAGTGTAGCGTTAATCGCACTGCGCTTACAGTGCAAGGCGATGCTCAGAAAGGTGTTTCCAATGCTTTGCTACGACGTCACGGTGGTGGCACCTGCCCGTCGCTCTGCGTTCAACACCTTATCACCTCCGAGTCTGGCGCGCATCTTTCTCCACGAGCTGCACGCCTTCG